CTTAGGTTCTAGTCACTCACGCGACAACGCTCAACACCGCCACGGCTGCCACCGCCCTTTCTGCCATCACCGCGGTCACGACCACTTCTGATTCCATGTCCATTCTTGGCATGACCACCCCATCCACAGAGATTACACTTTCCACGACCACTATAACGGCCATTGGTTCAACCTCTGCCTGTACCACCACCAATACCACTACCATTGCCACTGCCGCGAATCCACGACCACTATCATTACCACCACGACAAGTGCCACCGCCACGACCATCCTAATCATCGGTAGGACCACAATCGGCGCACGAACTGAAGCCAACTGCAGCCATCACCACCACGACCCCTCCAGGGCTCTCCTGGGGGCGTCCTCTGGGCCCCTTGGCGCTGCCTGGGAGCCTTTTGGGGCTCTCTTGGAGCCCTCTTGGGCCGTCTTGGGGCTCTGATGCGATGTCTTGGAGCCCTCTTGGGCCGTCTTGGAGCTCTCTTGGGCCCCTCTTGGGGCCTCTTGGCCGAATTGGGGACCCCGCTGCTTCTTCTCACATCCTCGTTATTCAGTGTTCACTTCTCTTCGCCTTTGCTCGTTTCCTCGCTCTTCCTCCCCTCGTCCTTCTGCGCACTTGTCCTTCTCACCCTTCCCTGTTTTTCCTCCTCGTCCTGATCTTTTCTGCATCTTCCCTCGTTCCCCCTGCTCCTCCTCCCTTCCTCCTCCTCCTTATCCCTCCCCCCCCCCGCGTGGATCTTCGCTGGAGAAGCCTCCGGAAACTCTGGGGGGCCAGGTTCGTCTGTAGCGTTTTGGGGGCCTTTGGGGGCCTCCTTGGGACCTCTGGGGGCGGAGGGCTTGAAATGTTCGTAGGGCATCCTCTCTAGGCCCCTGATTGGGGCCGTCCTGGGTCCCTCTTGGGCCGTCTTGGGGACCTCTTGGGCTAGCCGGGGGCCCTTCTGGGCTGTCTTGGAACCCTCTTGGGCTGTCTTGGGTCGATCCTGTCGGCCTCTCGGGCCGTCTTCGTTCCCCTGGAAGGGCAAGAGGCGAATCCCTGAAAAATGTACGTTTTCCGACGGGAACGGGGCCATTTTTGCATCTTGGGGCCCTCTTGAGATGGCTCTTGGGGCCCTGCTTGGCTGTCTCGGGGGCTCCCGGGAGCCCTCTTGGAGCCATCGTCGGCGTCTTCAAGCTACATTTCGAGGCTCGTGCACCCTCTTGATCTGTTTGGCGGCCTCTGGCGCCTTTGGGAGCCGTCCCAGGGGCGCCCCAGAGGCCCTGGTGCCCCCATGCGCGCTCGAGGTCGCGGTCCCGAGCCCCCAGTCGTAGCTAGGCTTAATCGGCCAACTCATGTAATCTCATTTTGGTCGCTTCCTACGTCCAGGGACTCCCTTGGAGGCCCTGCGCAAGCCTCGGAATCGTATAGAAGGGGAAATGCGGAAACGCAGAAATCATTACTTAATTCCCTTTAGGTATTCAACGACTTGAGGCCCTCAAAAGCTTCCTGGGTTCTTGAAGGGAGGTGAGGGGGTCTGAGTTGTGGTCTGTCGTGCAAGAGTAGACCGGGGGCCAAACTTGAAAAACAAAACAACAAAAAAGAAGGAACTGTGGGATTTCAATGTTTTCCAAATCCTCGGCGCTGTTCGGCGCTGCTTTTTGTTTGTGCCTCGCGGGTTTTGTTAGCCGGGCTCCTCTGGGGTGTGGCTTCCGGACCCCCTGGGGGTTCTGGAGGCCTGGAGAGCCGTCGGAAGGGTGTCTCAGGCTGCGCGGGAGCGTGTTGGGCCGTTCTTTACGTTCTGGGGGCTCCTTAGGGTCGTCTTGGGCTGTCCTTGGGCGTCTTGGGGTCCCCCCGGGAAGCTGGGAGACGCGGTATCGGTCAGATGTCAGGGGATGTGCGGGATCTCCGAATCGGAGTCCCACTTTGAAAAAAAACGAGAATTCTGGGAATTTCTTGTTTTCCCAAAAAATCCTCGATCTTCGAGGGCGTGAGGCGGGAAAACGTCAAAGGCGAAAAACAATAAAAAACATTTCAAATTAACGATTTTACCCTCTTTGGGCTCTCTCGGGACTGCTCTCGCAGGTTCTTGGGGCCTTGTCGGGGTCATTCTGGGGCCTTTCAGGGATTGGGGGTGTGTTGGGGGCCTCTGGGGGGTCCCCGAGGCCTCTCGGAGGTCGCTGGAAGCCTCCTGCTCCCGCTCTTGGGCCCATTCTGGCCCTGTTCTGGGGTAGTCTGGGGCTGTCCTGGGAGCCTCTTCGGCAGTCTTGGAGCCTTCTTGGCTCGTCTTGGGGCCGTCCTGAGGGTCTCATGGGTGGTCATGGGGCGGTCTTGGGAGCCTCTTCGGCGCTCTTGGACCATTGAAGTTCGAAAACGCGAGAAGCCAAAAACATTGCAAAAACAAATGGAAATCGACGATTTGGGCCTCTTCGGGCCGTCCCGGGACGCCTCTCGGACCTCTCTTGGGGTCTCTTGGAGGCCACCTGGGAGCCTCGAGAGCCGTCCGAAGGCTGACTTGGGCTGCTTGGGAACGTCTGGGACCATCCTTTCGCATTCTGGGTGCTCCTGGGAGGCGTCTTGGGCCCTCCTGGGGCGCTGTGGAGGCTCCCCCGAAAGGCCTTTGGGCTCCTGGGGGGCGTTCTTGGGCGGTTTAGGCGTCTCGTGGGCCGTCTTGGCCCCCTCGTGGGCCGTCTTGGGGCCCTCCTGGGGGCATCCTCGACCGGCTTGGAGCTCCCTCATAGGAAATCTACGATTTGTGCTTGTTGGGCCACTCTCGGGGTGCCTCTTGGGGCGTCTGCGGAGCCTCTTATGCTGTTCTTTCGGGTCTCATGGGGGCCTCTTGGGGCTTCTGGGCCCCTTCTTGGAGCCTCTTGGGGTCTCCTAAGGGTCTTTTGGGCCAAAAGGCCAGAATTTCCGGTTCCTCGTCCCCGTCTTGGGCGCCGCCTTTGGGCGTTCTTGGGCGGTTTGGGCGCCTCGTGGGCCGTCTTGGCCCCCTCGTGGGCCGTCTTGGGGCCCTCTTGGGGGCATCCTCACCGGCTTGGGTGCCTCTTGGGCCGTCTTGGATGCAGTGGACGCCCAAAAGGCAAACGCGCCCAAAGTATCAGTTTTCCCATCGGAAATCGGCGATTGTTGCATATTGGGCCACTCTCGGGGTGCCTCTTGGGGCGTCATCGGAGCCTCTTTTGGTAGTTGTTCGGGTCTCATGGGGGCCTCTTGGGGCTTCTGGGCCCCTTCTTGGAGCCTCTTGGGGTCTCCTAGGGGTCTCTTGGGCCAAAAAGGCCAGAATTTCCGGTTCCTCGTCCCCGTCTTGGGCGCCGGCTTTGGGAGTTCTTGGGCGGTTTTGGCCCATGCAAACCTCGCGGATCTGGAAGGCCTCGCAGCCTCGCACAGCGCCTCCTCCAGCCAGCGTAGCGCAGGTTTGGCGCCGCAGGGGTAAAGCAGTAGCGCCAGCGGGTCGTCCTGGTCAACGCCGCTCGTGAAGTGCGACGACGGCAGCGGCCCCGGCCGTCCCAGCAGAGATAGTTGGAGTTCCTTTACCATCATCAACAACGTCATCATCATAGTCATACTTAGAATCAACATCGTCATCGTCAATATCCTGTTCATCGTGATCATCATCATCAGCAGCAGCATCAACATCATCAGCACCGTCATCATCAGCATCATCAACATCATCACCATCATCATCGCCATCCGCATCACCATCATGGTGATCACCATCATCATCACCATCAACTTCAACAGCACCGTTACCATCAACAGCATCGTCATCAGCCACACCAGCAACAACAACATCATGATCACCACAATCAGCATCAACATCATCATCATCAGAATGAGCAGCGTCATCATCACCGTCACCTTCATCATCATGATCACCGTCATCATCGTCATCATCACCACCGTCATCGTTATCATCATCAACACCATCATTATCATCACCCCCGTCGTCGTCAGCAGTACCATCATCATCATTATCACCATCACCATCAGCATCAGCAGCTTCATCATTACCATCACCATCATCGACACGTGACTACCATCAACAATATCACCATCAACATCGGCAGCATCAACATCCTCATCATCCTCCGCAACACTATCATCGCAGTCGTCGTCATCATCATCATCATCATCATCGTCACCCTCGCCGTCATCATCATCAGCATCAACATACTCATCAGCATCACCATCACTTCCAAAAGCACCACCATCATCGTCATCAGTATCACCATGATCAGATTCATCACCATAATAATCATCATCATCATCATAATCGTCATCAGCTTCACCCTCACTATCCCAATCCTCATCATTACCAGTATCAGCATCATAATCAGCATCAGCATCACCATCATCATCATCATCATCATCATTATCGCCATCACCATCATCGTCATCATCGTCTCCAACAACATCATCATCATCAGCATCATCGTCATCATCAGCACCATCATGGGCTTCACCATCACCACCATGATCACCACGACGATCATCATGATCAGCATTATCACCACCGTGATCAACATCATCAACATCATCTCCATGCTGTTCATCATCATAATCAACATCACCCAAACTATCATCATCACCATCATTATCATTAACAACACTACCATCATCACCCGCAACAGCATCATCATGTTGATTTGTATTGCTACTATTACTGGAATGTGCATCAGCATCAGTATCACCATCGTCATCACCAGCCCGGCTCTCCCACCCTCGAATAACCACCACCCAGAATGCTGGGCTGGCATGATGGCGGGAATTGCCGCAGACAGCGCGATACCCAAGGCAGGCATAATGCGGTCCAAGATGGCCTCTCCCCATTGTTCTGCCAACGGATTCCCCAGTCCACTAGCACGATCGCTCGACGTTTCACGACACAGGCGCTTCCAAAGGCAAGGGGGCGGCGGTGACTAGCCGCATGCAACTTCGCCATACCAATACAGCGCAGAATTCCCCTATGAAATTCGGTAATGACCAAAACCGCAGCTCTCGCTAGGACTGAACGGAACATCTGGTCCTTGTTGACGGTCTCTGACTCGCCGACCGCCTCGTCGCGCTCGCCGACGGCCTCCGCGCGCGCGGACTCCGAGGGGGCAGGGCCCACCTCCTCCTCCTCCTCCTCCTCCTCCTCCTCCTTCTCCTCCTCCTCTTCCCCTTGCTCAAACATCGCCTCCCCCTCCTCCTTTTCCTCCTCCTCCTCCTCTCATCCTCCTCCTCTTCACCCGTCCACGACCCAGCAAGAGAAGTCATCCGCATTTCTCCTGGCCCCCGCCCCAAAGGGACATGTAGGAGGGCGAATGTTGATGGGAAAGGGGAACAGGAGGGTCAGAAGGGGCAGGAGGTACAGGCGAAGAAGAGAGGAAACGGATGTGGATCGCTGTCTTCTTGTCCATGCCGCCTTCGAACAAGGTTCCCCAGCCCTGTCTCATGTGCTGCTTGGTGCGAATTTGAGCATAGCAAGGCCCTCCATGGGACGCAACGCCGATCTCGGAGCGTAAGACTTGGCTATCGTCCGACATTGCTACAGTCGGAGCGCGTGCAAAAACCATCCGAGAGGGTGGTAGACTATGCCGAGAGGCGACGAGGTGTGAACACACGAGAGGGCATACAAAGGACATGCTGCTGTCGTGCAGCGGGGCAGGACGGACCCTGCAAAACATTTAGCGCAAGTGCCCACCACCTCCGACAGAGCTGCAAATCAGAACATCGCCCGACCCTTGTCACCGAGCGGCGCGTGACCGCTGCAGCCCGTCGAGTCGTAGGATGCGATCCCAAGTATCACATCCCTGTTCCGTATTGCCGAACAACAACTCACCCACCGTCGCGTCACACGTGTCAGCAAATTCAGCCGAGCGTTGTGACTCGTAATCCCTCACCGATTAAAATGCAATTCGGAAGCGACCATGAGAGTTGGCATCGAAACCAAATACCAGGCCTGGAGTTTCTGCTCCTCGCACAGATGGATGGCGAGTAGGTTTTAGAATCGCGTTCACGATCGAGATACCTCCGCATTGAAAGATCATGAAACTTGAGATGCCCCAACATCTACACTGATGGAGGGCGACTGGGTTTCAAGGTCGCGTTCCGCCCAAAAATTCCCCACAATGTTCACAAAGCAAGCTTGCCGTGCCCAAAGGCTACAAGGATGGAAACTAGCTCCTCTACAGAAATGAACTAGAACTACAGATCTCGTTGCAAGTGAGAATGGCGCTGCGACTTAACATGTCCAACAACTGCACGGGCTTCAGGCGGTCCATTCCAAACACCGGCTTTTCCCTTCAGACGTCCTCACAATTTGTGATCGAACATAATTCCAGGCGACCGACGTGCCACGGAAGGCGGACCGGTTCCAAAGCATTTTCACAATTTTGTCGCCGCGCACTTGAATACAACCGGTCGGCTCAACTAGGTCCATTCCAAATCGATGCGGCGGCCATGTTCTGCACTCTAGCCTTACAACGTGCCGCTTGGCTTGCAATGAACACTCAGCAAGCGCAAGGAAGGCTGGCACGATACCGTTCCACTTAGTTCCTGCGAAGGGAACCAAGGTTCTGACCTCTTTCCTGCCTCAAAATAATGTAACCTACTGTTGGCGGGGCCATACGAACATCTCTGTTCCAGCCCTTCCAGGGCCTGCACCATGAACAGAACCTTTGGAACAAGCGTTAAACGTACTGGGCATGGAGTAATTCCATACACGTGAACATGAATTGTGCGATGGGTGTGTGGGGCAGGTGTAGCAGAAATTCTGCGAATTTGTTCAACTTCGGTCCACCCCTTCTTCCTCCTCCTCCTTTCCCTCTTCCTCCTCCATCCCTTCCCCCTCCTCGTCCTACCACCTCTTCCTTCCTCCTCCACAACCTCCTCCACCACCTCTTGCCTCATCCCATCCCATATCCTCTTCCGCCTCTTCCTCTTCATACTCCCCTCTCCTCCCCCTCCGCCTCCGCCTCTTCTTCCCCTCCTCCTCCTCCTCCTCCTCCTCCTCCTCCTCCGTTTCCTTCCTCCTCCTCCTCCTCCTGCCCCTTTTCCTCTTCCTCCTCCTCCTCTTCCTCCCTTTCCTCTCCTCCTCCTCCTCCTCCTCCTCCTCCTCCTCCTCCTCCTCCTCCCCCTCTTATGTTTATTCGTCGTCTTCCGCTCCGTATTCTTAGTAGCCGTATTTTCTCTGATTATTATTATTCGCATTCGTATTGTTACTATTATGGATATCATTATTATTCGTATTATTATCAGTCGTTGACTCTTCTTGATTATTTCGAAATCGTATTGTTCGTGCTCCTTGTTTTCCACCTCTTCATCCTCATCCTCTTCCTCCTCTTCCCCCTCCCACCCACCCAGACTCGTGATCCTCTCCTTCAGACTCCCATTCGCCGTCGTTTCCATACAAATCCCCCCCCGCCTTACCCATCCGCGAATTTACACGTCCAACGTGGCCCAAGGTGGTCCCAGGGCTCGTCCTGGAGCCCTCGTGGGTACCTTCTCGGCCGTCAACGGATGCCCTGGGGGCCGGCATATGAGGCCAACGTCGTTCATTCAAAAGTCACAGGTGCTTGTATGATTTGGATCCCTTATTCTGGTCAGTATCTTGCTTGAAATGTCCCAAGACATCTGCCAGGCAATGCGATTTCCTGTCATCCACGGCAAATCAAGATTGCTCGACCTTACATCTTATCAAACATACCATACTTACGAGCATTGCGCCAGAGGTTCAAGTGGCCTGGGGCAGGTGTAAATCGTTTGGAAAACAACGGCGACACACGAACCGTGATACAGTCCCGTGCATCAGTTCTATGACAGTTTTTATGACCAGTCTTGCTGGAGGTGTCACAAGACATCTGGCACGGCACTGCTATTCGACGGCAGACAAAGACGATTCGACATCGACGCACCGCAACCCGACAAGTTCCGCTTCCAAGCATTGTGATGATGCGGTGCTGTACTTACAGGGACGCCAAGTTATACACAATTCTTGGAGTGCTATTGTGACGTACTGTGGGGGCAAGGGTACAGCGATGCAGGGCGGGATAGGCACTCTTCAGCTCGGCGAGAAACTGCCCTCGAAATTTCAGCTACCTCAAGGAAAGTTTTCCCAGAGAAAACGCAAGCCCCCCAGGGCCAACGACGCTGGGACTTCCGAGGCCATGGACAGGGCGGCCGTTGCAAAATCGCACGCGCGCGCGGCCCCTGGAGGGTCTGCCGCGTGCACATGAATCTACAAGTATCTCTCCCTCTTTCTCAAAGCTGACCAGGAGTTCCATAGCGAAGCCAGATCGGGGCGAAGCCAGAGGAAACTTTGTCATGCATTCTCTTCCCCATCCAGGGATGCTTCCCTGGATGCACAAACGCTAGATGTCACCTGCGACGGCGCCGAGCTCATTGGAAACAGACAACAACGCGAGGCCCCCCCCGACGAGCCCCCGGGGCCCAACGGGCTGCGAAGGAGACCGGATTGTTCGGGGCAGGCTGCTGTGCCGCGGGGCTCCACGAGCTCGCGCAGCCCTCGCAAGGAGCCCATTATCCACGCAACTCCCACAAATCCTGTCACGGCCCACCCTCGAAGAACATGCCAGACTTCAGGGGCCAGAAGGTCGGGGCGTTCACCGCATTTCACACCGCATTAAATCGCGGCTTCTCCGCGCGCGCGAGAGCGCCGGCTGAGCTCGCCCGAGCCTGACTAGACCTTGACCACCACGGCCCAGCGCTGAAATGCCTCTCGAAAGCCCGTTCGAAACCGGCCGCGCCTCGTTGGAGCTTGGCCAGGCGCCCGAGCCCCAGCTTTTTGCAGCTCGGGCCCCCCGCCCCAGGCCCCCGTGCTTCTCGTTGCGCACCGCGCTGCGGAAAACGCGCCAGCCCCCGCGCTGCTGCGCGGAGACCAATGACCTGGCGCCCATGCCGCGAACGTTGCTGGCGCCTCCATGGCGGATGGGAATAGAAATTGCCCTGCAGCACCTCGGCGCCCACTTCGCCCAAGGCCATCGTGAAGGACGCGGCGACGTCCCGGCGCTCGAGCTCGAGGAGCAGCCTGCCGCGGCCTCGGCGGCGCGCCAGCGCCTCCACGCAGCGGTCCAGCCAGCGCTGCCTGCCCGAGCCCAGCGGCACCCCGATGTCGAACGCGTTCGTCTTCGCCGGGGTCAACGCCTCCTGCGCACCGGTGACGAAGGTCAGCCAGCGCGCCGCGCCTGGCTCGCCCGGCGGCGGCAGCGGCACGTGGTCGGCCATCAAACCCAGCAGCTCCGAGGGCGCAAAAATATCACGAACGTGCTCGCGGCCCCCAGCGCCGCCGCGCCCTTGCCGATTTCGAATAGGCATAGCGCGGCAGCCGCAATCGCCAGCCAGGGCGAGGGCAGGCGCGACAGCTCTGGCCTCTGCTGAGCCCTGCCCTTCAGTGCATGCTGCGCGACGGGGAAAGCCACGCGGCGGCGACCTCTGGCCGAGGTGCGGGTCGCACCGCAGCTGCGCAGGGCCGAATCGATTCGCCGTCGCCGCCGCCCCGCCCATGTCAAAGAGTCGCTCTAAGAACCCTTCTGCGACGCAGCCTGACTCCTCGCGAGTCCACGACGGGAAGGGGGGCCGGGCGAGGCCGAGCCAGCAAGGCCTCGAGCACCCCCAGGTCGCCGATCTGCCCTCGCAGCCGCATCTTCACTGCCGCCAGCCGGGACAGCCGAGGGCAGATGCGCTGCCGCTCGAGCTCGCGCTGGGCGCGCGTCTACAGGGCGCCAGGCCGCCCGCGCTGCCCGCGCCTGCGACGCGAGACTACCCTGCCCATCGTCGGAGCCTTCGCCGCGTCGCCAGCCTCGTGCGTAGACCAGCGCCCCGAAAGAGACCGAGTGGATATATCGTCGGCTTGGCCTGAACATAATCTCCAGGTGGCAGCGTCGGGCGCCGAGCTGCCACGGCCCCCCTCTCCACGTAGGTCGCCCGCCGCGCGAGGAAGCCGCCGCATTCGGGCCCGCGCTTGAGCCCGAGCGGCTGACGCCGTCGAGAAGCGTGGTCGCTGGGTCCCAATCCGCACTGGCACTGCAGCCAGATGTAAACTGCAATGCTCAGGGAGCAGAGGCGAGCAGCAAACGGCGATCAGACGCACTTCCCTTTGCTGAGGCCAGCGCGACGGCCATGTTATCCCCCGAGACGAGGCGCCGAATCCCGCGCCGCCGGGCACGCACTGCCGCGCGCCGCGTGGCCCAGCAGACCGATGCGGCCTCGAGGCGGCGAATGGCTTCGCGCCGCCCCCAGCGCCGCAACCCGCCGCGCGCCGCTCAGAGCCCGTCAGCGCGGTGGCGCTGGCCCATGGGAACTCCGACGCGCGCCCAGCGCGCGGGCGCCGCGCCCGAAGCCTGCGCCACATCCGCCTCCAGGGCGCGATCCCGAGGCACGCCGGCAGCGGCCGGCGGCCCGTGGACGTGGGCCCGCTCTGACAACCGTCCGTGGCCGAGGACAACGGCAGCCTCTAATTTGGTCTCCATCACGCCGTGGCCCCACGGGGAAGCGTCGACGGCCGCGGCGGTAAGCGACCACAACTTGCCCATGCCTCCGACGATGCAGGGCAGGGGCGGCCACGCCCAACGCAGCTCCTTCCTGGCGTCAACCCACAGCGGCTGCCGCTTCAGCCCCGAGGTCTCTGCGAGAGCGCAGCGCGCGGCTGGGCCTCAGCATGCGCCCGGCGACGATGTGGCCCAGGGCGCGCTCAATCTCTTGTCCGGTGACCTTCCTGCCCGCAGCGTCGAGCAGGTTGCCGAGCGCGCCCGTCAGTCGCCAGGGGCGCTTCGGCATGATGCGCCAGCGACCCGCGGCAAGGTCCTGCTCGCAGCCAGGAGCTAGCTCGCCCTCGTCGCCCGAAAAGGGTCTCGGCTAGGGCCTCCTGCGCGACCCTGGCGGCCTCCTCGGGCCCCCCCTGCATGGTCGACGGATGCCGCCGCGAAGTTGCCCATGTACAGCGCCTTCGCGCCCTCCTTTCTGCGGTCGGCTCCGGGGCGCGCAATGATTGAGCGCCCGACGCCCGCCGCGACGGGCGGCGCCCGTGTCGCGAAGGCGCCCTGGCTGAATCGAATAGACCGCCCAGCGCCAGCGCGCCCGACCAGCGCGAGCCTGAACCTGAACATCAAGTCCGTGGAAGCGCGGACCAGGGCCCAGGCGACCTCGAAGAGCAGCCGGCAAATGCTGCGCCTACTCAAGCAGCTCGCACTGATAGAAAAACACCCCCACATCACCGGAGCTGAAGCCAAAGCCCGCCGTGCTCAATGGCGGCGAGGGCCTCGGGGCCGGCGAGCTCGGCGCAAGCTGGCGCGACAGAGTGAACGCTGGCGGCGCGAGCGTCGGCGATCGAGCGAAACTTGTATTTCTGCCGCGCGGAAAATAAGCCGACCTCATCCTCGGCGCCCCCGGGGCCCACTTCAAGCGCGCCCATGCGCGGCCGAAGTCGCAGCCCCGCGATCGCCGGCTTCGGGCCCAGGTAAAACAAATGTTCATAAAAAACCTGGACGAAGTGCCAGCGTCGACAGCAGGCTCTCGCATCGGGCCGCGGCCGGTCTCCGGCATCGCGCGCAGCGCCTCCCGAATGACCGATCGCAGCTCGACTCGCCCACGCTGCCACGCGGACAAATCATGAATGGCTGGCAAACTGCCCGGCCAACTTCCGACTCGGTATCGCAGTGGCCAGGTCGACGGCCCTGCAGCGTCTTCCACGAAGCGCGGGCATCGCGGCGCGAATCTGGAGAGCCCACTGCCCCGTTGCGTCCAGCAAGGCGGCGAGAAGTGGCGCGCTGCGGCCTCGTCGCGCAAGGCGCTGGCGCCCCTGAACCAGCGGGGGCGACGCCGGCGGCCAAGGGTTTCTCGCGGCCCTTGCGCCTCTCCTTCAGGATCGCGGCCTCCTTCTGCAAGCGCCCCGCGACCCTCTCCTTCAATCGCAGGCCCACTGGGGCGGGGCCGCGGCCCTTGTGCCGCGCGAGGAAATCTAGCGCTCGCCCAGCCACGCTGTTCCACCGACACCGCTGCCGCCCTCCGCCCCGAAGGGCAGAGCCGCGCGCCCGCCCCCGCGGCTGGCGCCTCCTGCGCGCCATCTCGGAAAAAAACAAGGTTGGGGAGGCAGGCTTGGCGACCTGGCTGCAGGCCTCCAGCATTTCGCTCAAAGAGAAGCGCGCTCGTCCACGCCCGAGCCCTCCACCGTCGAGCCGAGGATCAGCTGCCACAAAGGGTGGCGCTGCGTCGGCGCGCGCCCCGGAATCGCGAACTGCCGCGGCAGCCACAGGAGCGCGCGGGCAAACGATCGTCGATCGCGTTCGCGAACGGCCTGCAGCGGCCCCCAGCGCTGCCCAGCTGCACCGCGAGCGCCCCGATGTCCCCAGGCGCGCGGGCGGCGCGGGGCGAGAGACAGTTCCTGGAAGGCCCACTGCAAGGTGAGCTCCCCTCTGACAGCTCCAGCACGCCGCGATCGCCGAACGCGACCCTCGGACGTCGCCGACCTCGTAGCCAGCGCGGGACTCGGCAGCCCCCCAGTCACGTGGAGGCCCTCCGCCACCCCCGCGAGGTCCAAGGCCAAGCGGAGGCCCAGCAAAAAGCGGCAAGGGAGGACGAGCGCCCTCCGCTTCATCGGCACGGCCGTCTGCAACAGGAGGAGGCTCAACATCGGGCTAATCTCTGGTGCTCGCGAATCGCCGCGGCGAAGCCGCGCCCTGTCGCCTCCAGCTCAGCGCGCCTCCACTCCAATTCCGTCATGTCAACGCGCGATACCCATGCCCGCACCATGCTGACGCCTCCGCGCGCCCCCGCGGGGCCCAACGTCAAACGCATCATCCAGCTCCTCGTGGCGCAGATCCCTGCGTGGTGTCACGATGATCCATCTCGCGCCCGTCAGAAGCTGGAAGCGCGCTCGTGCTACTAGTCATCGTCCCGATCTTAGAAGTCGAGGACCCGCTGGGGCCCCCCTGGGTCCCTAGCAGCGGTCGCCTTGTTGTTGTTGTTGCTGTTGTTGTTGTTGTTGCTGCTGTTGTTGTTGTTGAACATTATTACTTCTAAAGAATAATTATTGCTGGGGCCCCTGGTGCACGCCCCCCCCGCCGCGCCTAGGCCGCAGCCTCATGTTCATCATTTTCGTGAGGAAGTCTCAGGCAAAACGGGTTGGTCCGGATCCGGTTGTGTTGTTACGATCGGTTTCCCCTTGCAAAAAAATACTTACAGTGGACATTTCTTGTTCTAACATAACCAAACTTCAAGAATCCCTTGCAAAAAAACAAGGTAAAGTGGACATTCGCGCGCGCAAGACGAAATCCTTCCAAAACCTTAGTTTTCGTAGCGATTTTAACATAAAAACATCAAACAACCAATGGTTTTTCAAAAAAAATGTCAAAATTTCATCCCGCGCGCTCTTGCGGATTCGTAGGAAACCCAACACTTTTTAAACATTTCTGTCAAACGGGCTTTTGCGAGCAACTTTTTCGAACTTCTGCAACAACGGTTGCGCACCTGCCAGGGCCATCATCCCTGTCAAATAATACCATGCGGGACACATTCGTTTTTTCTTCGCGCGCGCACGCCGTCGTCGTCGGCCGCGGGGCCCTGAATAGTAGCCACGGTCGTCCGCATGCCACGAAGTGAAGTGTCCGAACGTCATAGGGCGGGAAGCTGGGTGTGGGTGGTGGCGAAGAGTCGTTTGGAAATTTGGTAGAGCTTGAACCGGCCCCCCCACAAAGTGGGGGTATTGCCCGCCTCCTATGAAAACCCTGGCACTGGTGAGAACGGTGTGTCCCCACGTGCTAGTAATTGTTGTTGTTGTTGTTGTTGTTGAACATTATTACTTCTAAACAATAATTATTGTTGGGGCCCCTGGTGCACGGCCCCCTCGCCGCGCCTAAGCCGCAGCCATGTTTTCATCATTTTCGCGAGGAAGTCTCCGGCAAAACGGGTTGGTCCGGATCGGGTTGTTTTGTTACGGGCGGTTTTCCCTTGCAAAAAAAAGGCAAAGTGAACATTTCTTGTTCTAACATAACCAAACTTCAAGAATCCCTTGCAACAAATAAGGTAAAGTGGCCATTCGCGCGCGCAAGACGAAATCCTTCCAAAACCTTCGTGTTCGTAGCGGTTTTAACATAAAAACAACAAAAAACCAATGGTTTTTCAAAAAAATGTCAAAATTTCATCCCGCGCGCTCTTGCGGATTTGTAGGAAACCCAACACTTTTTAAACATTTCTGTCAAACGGGCTTTCGCGAGCAACTTTTTCACGCGCTTCGAACTTCTCCAACAACGGTTGCGCACCTGCCAGGGCCATCATCCCTGTCAAATAATACCATGCGGGACACATTCGATTTTTCTTCGCGCGCGCACGCCGAAATCTTAAAAAACCATTGGGTTTTTTAGGAATTTTAGCACCGCGCAACATAAAATCATACGAATCGCACCGTAGGTCCTCGAAAAACATCTGTGCGAATTTTCAAAATTTCTACCCGCGCGCGCTGTCAGAATCCAGTACAGGTGTCCAGTGTTGGAACAGGGGGGAAAGCCGTATACTAAGCTAGCGTCCAGAAAATGTTACCACAACAAGTCACTGTACCCATGCGCCAGTGTAGTAGCAACGGTCGTCCGCAGGCCACGAAGTGAAGTGTCCGAACGGCATAGGGCGGGAAGCTGGGTGTGGGTGGTGGCGAAGAGTCGTTTGGAAATGTGGTAGAGCTTGAACCGGCCCCCCCACAAAGTGGGGGTATTGGCGGGCGTCGTATGAAAACCCTGGCACTGGTGAGAACGGAGTGTCCCCACGTGCTAGTAATTGTTGTTGTTGTTGTTGTTGTTGTTGTTGTTGTTGTTGTTGTTGTTGTTGTTGTTTCGGGCGGCATCGGGCACGCGAGTCAGGGCAAGAGCAGGCTTGCGCTGGGCAAGAGCTCGCCCAGGCACTCAGCAGTCTCGAACTCCGAGCCCAAAGACGAAGGCGATCGCCACGAACAGATCGCCGCAGGATGACCCCAAGGTCCCCAACGCGGCCTAAGAGTCCCCCGAGACGGCCCCAATATGGAGAAAACGAACTAGCACGTCGAGCCTTTGTCCTCCAAGATTGTCCCCGAGACCGCCAGCAAGTTCCAGGGAGGCCCCAAGAGGTTCCTGGAGATCCCCGGAGGCCCCCAAAAAGGCCCCCCGACAAAACTCCGAGATGCACCAAGAGGTTTCTTACAAGAGGCTTCGTCAAAAAGGCACCCCTGGAGCATCCAAGGTGTCTATGAAGCCTCTTGTCCAGGGTCCAGGCATGGCGTCAAAGTGGGCCGAAGGCTACTAGACCTGCTTGGCACGGGGAAGGACAACACAGCATGTTTTGTGATGGCGCAACTTGGAAAGTCTCACGGGGAAGCACGCGCAAGTGCAGCAGTGGCCGCGTGACCACACATCCCCAAAGTGGCATCACTCGGGCCCCAGGCCACCGACGATTACCTCGAAACTGAGATGACCCCATGGGCCAACACGATCCCGACCAAGCATCTCGAGTCTCAGGATGCCTATGCGATGACGCGTCCGATGAGCAGCTGGCGGTGCCGAAACAGACCAAAGAAGATGGACCCAGGCACCACATCAAGGGCTACTCCAACCTGACCGAGCGACGCCCGCAGTCCAAACACGACACGAGTGCGATCTGAAAACGACCTGCCGACAACTCCAAGATGCACCCAAGATCATTCGGAAGTCGACGCAGTGGGCGGTCCCGCGACCTGCATATCATGGAAAGTTGATCCCAAGATGACCCTACATGGTTTCAAAAGGCCATGACGAGGGGTCCGCGGCGACAGGACGGCGCGCGCATCGCCTGAAGATGGCACCAAGAAAGCCCCACCACAGCAGGAGTCCGTGAACTTATGGACCCCAGTAAGCGTCCACCCCCGATCCCAACACGGCGGGATCCCTCTAGGGCACGGGACGCGGATGTACACTGATGTTGATGGGCGGGAGTTGACCTGGCTAAATCAAACCTATAGTACTAAGATGGACCAAGCTCGGCGGGATTCCGCCCGACCCAGGAATGAAGACTACCTTGCTAGACTTCTACGGGGGCAAAAGGTTCGGAAGTCGCAGTATTGCTACCGCAGGCTTCCGCCGCCTTTGCAATACTTTTGCCGTCTTTCGCGCGGCGAGCGCCACCATAAAATTCAAGGAATTGTCATTGGGCCGATGCAGTAACATCGTTTTGAACCTGCGATGCTGGAAATTAATAGGTAATGTTAGCCAGCGTGGACTCCAAACAATGTGGCTCTGGCCTTACATTGTGTGCAATATCCGCTGGTCCCCTTGTGGGGCCACCAAGCTGTAGGCCAGAGGTTTGCTGTTCCTTGCGCCAGTTCCAATTTCCAATTTCCACTGTTACGGTTTTGCTTCTTGCTGCTTGCTGTTCCTTGTTGATGGACCGCGCGAGGGGGGGGGGAGTCGAGAAAGAACCGAGAAACCACGCCCGAATCGGGTGCTCTGAATTCCCGGGGGGGCGTGGGACACGTAAAAAAATATGAACTCGCACCCCCGAGGCCATGCACCCTCGTAAATTACACCATATTCGCGTCCCCGAGGCAATAGACCCTCGTGAATTACGCAATATTCGCGTCCCCGAAACTATAAACCCTCCCAAAATACGCCATAGTAGTATTCCCGAAGCCATAATCCATTGCAAAGTATGCAAAACTTGCGTCCCCGAAGCCACAAACGCTCGCAAATCACGCAATAGTCGTTTTCCCGACCCGAAACCATAAACCCTTGAAAATTATATAATATTTGCATCTCCGAAGCCATAAACCTGCATGCATGTCGCAGTATTTGCGACCCCGAAGCCATACACCTGCGTAAATTACACAATAATCGCGTATCCGAAGCCATACACCCTTGTAAATTACGCATATTCGCGTTTCCGAAGCCATAGTCCTTTGTAACTTATGGTATGTGTGCGGGCCCTAAGCCATACACCCTCGTAACTAACATGATATTCGCGTTTAAGAATCCACAAACCCTCGGAATGCAACACCGAATTCAACAATGTCATCAGAATCTCAATTTGTCTTGCCGATTACTCAACGTCTTCGCGTGAAGTCCCGACGGTGCTTCACGGCGGCGCCAAGGCATCATGATTTCGCTCTTGCTTTGCCCATTAGCCGAGAGAGGGGGCCGGCGGCAGGGGGCGAAGCCTTACGGATATGTGGAGCAACCTAGCTATGTTGTGCAGGATCAGTGGTGCAATCTATGCTGTGCAACCTATGTTGTACAATGCAGATGGTGCAAACGATGTGGTGCAATCTGTGTTGTGCAATCAATGTGGTGCGCATTGTATGTGGTGCAATAGCAGTGGTGCCATCTATGTGGTACAATAGTTGTGCTATCTACGTGGTGCAGTATATGCGGTGCAATCTACGTTGTGCAATTTGGGCGGCGACGGGGTGACAACGGCGACAACATAGCCGCCTGACCCGCAATCAGGCCCAGACGACGGACGGCGACGAGGCGCCGACGGGGCAGCGACGGCGACAAAGTAGCCTCCAGACCGACAATCAGGCCCAGTCGACGGGCGGCGACGAGGCGCCGATGACGACAGCATGGCCACCAAACAGACAGCCAGGCCCAAGGCTTTAGGAACTGTTCGCCAACGTGGACCCTAAACAAATCGTTTCTGGCCGCATAGCCTGTGAGGTCTAGATGGGGCAACAGATATTGTGCAAACTACGTGGTGCAATATAGTAGGTGCAGTCTATGTTGCGCTCTATACCTTCTACAATAGGTATGATGCAGTGTATGTGGTGCAGCCTATGTGGTGAAATCGGTCTTGCGTAATTAATGTTGAGCGACCGATTTGATGCATCCGATGTGGAGCAATGTATGTGGTGCAACGCATGCGGTGCAATCTATAAGGTGCAATTACTTTCTGTTCGCAATGAATTGTCCACTCCACTGCTCGCGCAAACATCCCACCCACCTACCCGCAACTTGGTTTGCAAAATCTCTTAAGACCGTGACGGTGGGTACCACATGGCACTTGGCAACAACAGCGACGCCGGCGACGACAGCGACAACGACGATGACGACGCCGCCGACAACGACTACGGCGACACCGACGACGTCTCCAACGACTTCGACGACGCCGACAACGACGACGACAACGACGACACCGACGACGACGACGACACCGACGCCGACGCCGACGACGACGACGACGATGACAACGACGACGACGATGACGACGCCGACGACGACGATAACGACGACACCGACGACGACGACGACGACGACGACGTCAACGACGCCGACGACGACGACGACGACGACGACGGCGGCGGCGACGACGACGACGCCGACGTCGACGACGACGAAGACGACAACGACGCCGACGCCGACGGCGCCGACGACGAAGACGACGACGACGTCGCCAACGAAGACAACGAGGAAGGAGGGAGGGCGACGACGGCGACAACGACGACAACGACGAGGGAGGAGGGAGGACGGCGACGACGCGAACGACGAAGAAGGAGGAAGGACGGCGACGCCGACGACGGCAACGAGGAGGGAGGAGGAAGCCGACGACGACGACGACAACGACGACGACGACGACGACGGCGACGAAATAGGAGGGACGACGACGAGACGCCGACGACGACGACGAGGGAGGAAGGACGACCACGACGACAACGACGATGGAAACGACCACGACGCCAAAGAGGACGACGACGACGAACACGAGGAAAGACAGAGGACGACGTAGGCGACGACGACGACGACGACAACGACGAGGGAGGAGGGAGGACGGCGACGACGACGACGACGACGCAAGAGCGCGCGCGCACGCTTTTGTTGGAAATCCGTGTTGCGAAACCTTGTGTTTTTGTATGGTTATTGGGACGCACGATTTTGAAATCCTTCCGAAACCGATGGGTTTTGAAGGTTTTCGGCATACGCGCGCGACGACGCGCGCGTCTGCACTTCGTCCCATTGTTTGAAGGGATTCTCGCGACGGCACGCGCGCAAGGGCGTTCGACAGATTTCGACATGAGCGCGCGCGAAGCTTGTTTGGTAGCATTTTGTGAAATCTTGAAAACCTATGGTTTTCTTAAGATTTCGCAAGAGCTTTCGCGGAAGCTTTTTTAGCAAATCAGTGTTACGAAACCCTGTGCTTTTGTATGTTTTTTGGAAACTCGATTGCGAAATCCTTCCCGCACCGAGGGTTTTTGAAGGAATTCGGCATGCGCGCGCGACGACGCGCGCGTGTGCATTTCGTATCATGTTTTGCAAGGGATTCGAGAAAAAGTGCTATGTTAAAACAAAAAATGTCACCGCATAGTGTTTTTTGCAAGGGCACCTCAGGGGGGAGAAACCGGCCTAGCTGGGACGGTACGATTTCATATTTAGGATGGACGAATGTGCAGAATATATATATATATATATATATATATATATATATATGAAATCATACTATCCCAAGGGGAACCGATAAGTCCGGGGGGGGGTAGAGTCTATTCTCTTTTTAGAAGGGAGAATCTAGGTTGTGCAATTGCTGTGCAATCTATGTGGTGCAATCTAGGCGGCGACGGGGCGACGACGGCGAGCACAAAGCCGCCAGACCGCCAAACAGGCCCTGACGACGGACGGAGACGAGGCGGCGACGGCGAGCACGGAGACGCCAGACAGCCAGCCAGGCCCAGACGACGGGCGACGACCAACTGGAAGCGGGGCGGCGACGGCAAGCATGGAGCCACCAGACCGCCAGTGAGGCCCAGTTCCTTTGAAGAGAAGTAAGAACCCCTCAGTACAAGCACTCTGGGGGAAGAAGTAATAATTACCTAAATGCAAACACTGCTTTGCTGTCCCCACCCGAACCGCCATATTCGACAATCTCTAGGTCGCTCTTGGACCGTATGGACCGCACAATGTCCGAATGTCGCGTTCGCCCGTTTGACCACCCGCTTTCGTGGACTGTTGGCGCTGCGCGGGCAAGAACATCATCTGATGATCGCGGATGCAATAGTGTTGGGCTGCTGGCCGTCTTCAGGCCTTCCGGGAGAGGCACCAAGACAAGGTAAAGAGTCACAACTGTTGGAATTGTCCTTTGTGAAATCGCTACGTTTGAAGCCAACTTGGACTGTCTTGGGCCCGCTGGCAGACAAGCTTGGGGCCATATTGGGCAATGTTGGGCCACATCCTGGTCTGTAGTGTTGGCCCCGTTGGACCTTACTGAGGCCTCCAAGACGATGTCGATGATATGCTATTTGTTCAAGGTGTCCCTGGCGAAATCGCCACCTGGGGCAAGACCAAGACCAAGACGACGTCGACAACGTATCGTTTGTGTGAGGATGTCCCTAGCAAAAGCGCCAGTTGGGGCAAGAGCGGTGTCGACAACACCTCATGTGTGAGGGTGCCATTAGCAAAATCATAATGTTGTGCAGTAGGATGGCGTGTTAGAGCCACCTTGTTGGGCTATGTTGTGCCGTCTTGAGGCCTTCCAAGAGTGATCCCAAGACATACCACTTGTTTGGCAATGACTCCAACGAAACGGGCCATTTCGGCTACTGGAACCCTGAGGCTACACATGCCAACAACCGTCAACCTCCCCCTGATTTTATTGATCCTGGATAACGGATCGCCCGCTATACATGCGTTCCGTCGTCCGCCGCCTCCTGCGTTCGTCACAAGGATGCCTAGCGAAGCAAATGTTGTCGTGTTGGCCCTTCTAACCGGTGGTTCCCGGGGGGGGGGCTTCATGGCGCAACCCGCCAATGCAGCATCCCGTGGGCTTTGCCGCCGAAGATGGCTCCAAGATTGAGACGGCCAAGTGGGCCCCAAGAAGCCCAATGATACAAGATGGCCCCCCAAGATGCTCCAACAGAAATCTGTTCGGCGCCTGTTGGGCCGTCGTGGGGGTGCCCAAGCGGTCGGCCTAAGAGGCACCACTCATTGAAAAACACTCCGCGTTTCAAAATGTAGTCAAATTCTCACAAGGCCCCAGCAGAGCCCCAAGACAGCCCAAGACGATCCCAGATAGCCCCTCGCTATTGTCCCACCAGTGGTCTCAAAAACTGGGGAGCACGCAGTCCACTAGCGTGGCCGCACTGTCACTCGACACTTCACGACGGTTCCGAAAGGCAGGAGGCGGTGGTCACTCGCCGCAGGCATCTTCGATAATAATATCGGGGCGTGACAATACACGCTTTACCAGGACCCAGGACCAGACCCAGCGTGTGCAGGCCCACCGAAAGCCTCTCGAGGGCCGAAAAAGGCAATTCGCTAACCAACTGGGCAGGAAAACGGTGTTATTGATCTTCGACCGCAGTAAATCAACCTACGTAATCATAGTCATGTTCAGAATCATCTTCATCTTCGTCCTCCCCCGACTCCCCTCCAGGGTCGAGTTCGAAGCAAGACTGAGGCGACGCAGGACCCTCCCGAGGGGCGACCCTCCTTGCTGATCCCCTCGTCGCAGAACTCCTTGTGGCTGGCCTCGGCCAAGGCGTCAGCCTCCAGGCGTGCGATGAGGTCCTGGGGAGGGGAAGTGGAGGGATAGAGAAGGCACGCGCCCCCAAGCAAGGGAGAGAAAAAGAGGGGGCGGAGGAGCAGCAAGAGCAACAGGAGCAGCAGCAGGAGGTAGGAGGGAGAAGAAGGGCGGAGGGATTGTGGTGCAGTGCAGTGCTAATGCCCCTGGCGCTAGGCTTGGGAACGTGCACCTTCTGAAAACTGAAAGTATCACGAACGACGAATACCTCCATATCCATGCCCTCGCCGTCTGGATACCGAGGCGTGATCCCACAGATACGCGATCCCACAGCCGAGGAATCCGGACCTCCAGCCCGTGGAGATGCACAACCCCCCCTTTCCCGAAAGAAGGGGGAGGGAGTGCGGAACGGGGAGGAAGGAGGGGCTTGCCTGCTGCGCCAATTGCCGGCCTGCGCTGCCTGACGACGGCGACAACGACGACAACGACGACGGCGACAGCGATGGCGATCGGTCGGCTAAGTGGTGGCTAAGTGGGGGCGCGATGGCGATCGGTCGGTCCTGCTGGGACTCCTGCGCTCCCAGGATGCCCGCGGGCCCCGAAGCGGGGAGGAGAACTGCAGGGGCGAAGAGGAGACAAGGGGCGCGAAGAACGCATGAGAAAGTTGCAAAGAACGACCAGAAGAAGAGGCGGAGAATGACTACCAAAATTCGCAGAACGCTGGGGGTCCGCGTAGAGTAGGTGAGGTGGGATCGCCACGCATCCGCGATGGGGCCCGAGTAGAAGGAGTCGGAGGATCGCCACGCATCGGCGATGCATCGGCGATGTATCGCCGACGTCGGCGATGCATCGGCGCCATCGGCGCGGAACGAGTCGAGCTCCACATCGAGCCACATCGGCGATGCGTCGGCGATGCGACGCGAATCTCCGGCCCCATCCGAGAGGCCTCGATCTTCGGCCCTCTGGGCGTCTCACGGGCGCTCCCCAGGGCCGCTTCGGGACCTCAAGGTAGCCCCGGAGGGCTCCCCAGGGGAGGCCCCCAGGCGTTGCCCGCCCTCCTGGCCGAGAGGCGGCGCTCGGCGCTCCGTGGCGGAGCGGCAGCCTGCCGCCCGCCGTCGGGCCAGTCTGCACGTCCAGACCCGCGCCATCACCGGGAGGAGGAGGCGGGTGTGAAGGAGGGGAGAGGAGGAGGAGAAGGAGGAGGAGGAGGCGGAGGAGGAGGAAGGAGAAGGAGGAGGAGGAGGAGGAGGAGGAGGGAGGGGGGGGGGGGGGGGGGGGGGGAGAGGGAGGACGGGGAGGATAGGGAAGAGGGGGAGGAGGGGGCGGAGGGAGAAGAGGGGAGGAGGCAGCAGAAGGAGCGCAACAGGGCGCGGGTGAGTCCGTCATGAGCTGGCGCACCTTGACGAAGGGGTCCTCTGCAGGGAGGATGGGCGGCAACAAGCAAGACTTGCGAGCTGGTGTGGAGGGTGAGAGACCGACTTGCTGGGAAGGAGGAGGGGGACAGAAATCGTACCAGCCCTCCTGGCGTATGTGGTCCAGCGAGTTGGTAATTTACAGCCCTTTGAACCTCCTTCTTCAATCAATGCTCCGTTTTAGTAAACATCCCGTCCCCCACTCGACCGTCGACCGACCAGGAACAATGCCGACCCGCCATCATCCCTGTCAAACGACATACAACATGCACTTGCGGCAAAGTCTAAATCAGGTTCGGGCGCCCCGCGATCACTTTCAATTGTTTTTTGTCAGGGGCGGCAGGGGTGCCATCATATTCCCCACCGCGCGCAAACCCCCTGTCAAACGTAAGTGCAAGGTAATTGCGGGCACACGCACAAAGTTCACAAGGCGCATGTGGCGCAAATGGCACGTGGCGCACTGGGCGCATGTGGAGCGCGTGGCGCATCTGGCACACCAGGCACGCTTGGGACGCTTGGGACAACGGGGCACCTGCCGCTTCTGGTGCACGTGGCGCACCTGCCATGCGTTGCGCAACTCTCAGGCGTCGCGCACATGGGAGGGTGGGACTGAACAAGATAGCTGGCGGCTTTCCTGCTGGGACCCTGATTCACGCCCGATATAAAATCACAGACACCCCCTCCACCACTCGACGAGCAACCACCAATCAAAACCCATGCCAAGCCCTGCCCTGCCATCCCTCATCAAGACACAAAAAACACGTTGCGGCAACATCATGTTGGGTCATATTGTGGGGGGGCTCGAGCACTTTGAGCTGTCTTTGCGGGGACGGCGGGGGGGGGGGGGCATACTGCCTGCTGCGCGCAGGGCCACAATCCCTGTCAAAACAACAAGTGCACGTCGCGGCTACACTTGGATCATGCGCGGGCATCCTGCGATCACTTCACATAATGCCCGCGGTGTGCAAACAAACCAGACATCATGATGGCCACCGCGCCGCGTGTGCGAATGGGTATTCGAGAAGGACGGTGCGAGCCGACACGTCTGCAGGTGTGCGCGGGCGCACGTGTCACACTCGATCTGCGCAAGTCCCGAATAAGGCGCACCTGGCGCGGCTTGAGCATGCGGCACAGTTAGCGCGCGTGGAACACGTGACGCATCTGGCACACAAAGCGTGCCTGGCCGTCTTGAGCCCCAGGGGCGCCCGACGAGCTTGGCATTCGTGGCGCACTTCGCCCCAGCGTCGCGCAACTGGGGTCTGTGTTGGTTCCGGGTAGCTGTCCATCCAAAAATCGACACTAAGTGAGCTGAGAGCCGGGTGGTACTTACACGCTGGGAAGGCGGGTGGGAATACACCAATGAGGTTGTGTCTGAGAAGGATGTGTTGCTCGCTGCCCCTTATCAGTGTACACCCCCTCCCCACCCGACCAAAGACTGACCTGGGGAAACGCGGGCGCACCTCCGCCATCCCTGCCAAGAGAAATACGTGGTGACGTACCCACCCTTTGTCTCAACACATGACGAATCGACGTGTGCATATATATATATATATACTAGAACCATCGCGCGCGCTTCGCGCGCGCTCAGGTTCTAGCCCAGGCCAGGGGCGCGCTAGAAGATCTTGGACAGCGCTATCAAGCACAGGCGCGTGACATAGTCGTGCCTCCTGAGGGCCTCTTGGGAACCTCTTGGGTCTTCGTGGGGACATCTGAAGGGCTTCTGGGGGGTTCTCCGTGCTTCCGCAATTGGCTGTTGTAGCCCGGCGGCCCCGGCGGCGTCCCAGGAACGGTCTCAGGTTTTGGACCGGAGGCCGCATGTAGACGTACATGAAGGTTTCTGGGGAAGCCTCTCAGAAGCCCGTTGGGGCCCTCTTGGGGGTCTCCTGGGGGCTTCCTGGGAACCTCGGGGGGCCTCTTGGAAGCCTCTTGGAGGGCGCCTGGAGGCCCTTTGGGGCCTGCCGCGGGCGTCTTGGGGGCCTCTTGGGGCCTCTTGGCGGTCTCTTAGTGGCCTCTTGGGGGCCTCCTGGGGCGGGGGGCTGGAAGATTCAGTTGGGTTTCCCGTCTTGGGCCCCTCTTAGGGCCCTTCGGAGACGCGTTTGGGCCGTCCTGGGCGCCTCTTGGACTGTCCTGGGCCCCTCTGGGGCCGTCTTGGGGCTCTCTTGTGGGCTTCGTGGGCCGTCTTGGGGCGGTCTAGGGAGAGTCTGAGGTCGTAAAGAACGGTACGAAGGACAAAAAATCGAATATGGTAAAAATGCACGTTTTAAGAAGGGAAGGGGGCTATTTTTGCTTCCCGGGGCCGTCTGGAGGGATCTCTTGGAGGGGTATTCGAGCGTCTTGGAGGCGTCTGGGGCGGTTCGAGACGCCTCTTGAGCCGCCGGAGATCGCTGGAGGTTGTCTTCAGGGTGGCTCTGGGCGGCCTTGGGCCGCCTGGACGGCCGTCTGGGCGCTCCGGGGGCCGACCTGGGGCCCGCTGGGCAGCGGGCTGGGCCCGACGTCCCCCCATTTGCGGTCGAGGCTGCGGCCCTGGGGCCCCTGGGCCCCGTGCGGCGTTATATGTATACAAATGTATGGTCGCCCCCCGTCATCATACCTGTCTCATCTCATGCTCTCTCTCTCTCTCTCTCTCTCTTTCTCTCTCTTTCTCTCTCTCCCTTTTTCCTCTTCCTCCTCTCCTCCTCCTCCTCCTATTCCTCCTCTTCCTCCTCCTCCTCCTCCTCCTCCTCCTTCGGCCTCCTGGGGCCTCCTGGGGCCTCCTGGGGTTTCCTGGGGCCTCCTGAGGTTTCCCGAGTCTTCCCAGACACTGCCCTCGTGAAAAACGCTGCGTTTTCCGGGTTTCAGATTTCCAAATCTTCTCAGAGACTACCCTGGTGAAAAACGCCGTGTGTTCCAGATGTTCCAGATCTTCCCAGACACTACCCTGGAAAAACACGCTGTGTTTTCCAGAAGTTCCAGATCTTCCCAGACACTGGCTCTTGAAAAAAAACTTTGGTTTCCAGATGTTCCAGATCTTCCCAGACACTACCCTGGTGAAAAACGCTGTGTGTTCCAGATTTTCCAGATTTTCCAAATCTTCCCAGAGACTACCCTGGAGAAACGCTGTGTTTTCCAGGTTTTCCAAATACTCCCAGGCACTACCCTGGTGAAAAACGCTGTGTTTTCCGGTTGTCCCGGACTTCCACATTTTTCCGCAAACTACCCTGAGCCTGCAGCGTAGTCTCTGGAAAATTCTGGAAAATAAAAAAACGGGAAACACACAGCGTTTTTCAAGAGCCAGTGTCTGCGAATCTCGGGAATATCTAGAACATCTGGAAACACAGAGCGCTTTTCACCAGGGTAGTCTCGGGCAAGATCTGGAATATGTGGAATCTGGAAGACACAACGTCGTTTCACCTGGGTGGTCTCTTGGAATATTTGGAATATCTGGAAAATTTGGGGAACAAAAAAAAACATTGTTTTTGTTCACATGTGTAGTCTCTGGGAAGATCTGGAATATCTGGAAAGCCTGGGAAACATAACGTTTTTTCACCTGGGTAGTCTCTGGGATTTATCGGAACTATCTGGAAAATCTGGAAACACACATTGTTTTTTTCACCTGGGTAGTGATTGGGAAATCTGGAACACCTGGGACATCTGGA